GGTCCATCACCCTTGGGGATGGCAGGTCATGGAAGAACGCGTCTACGAGCAATATGAGGTCAGGACCAGGCATTATTCACGCTCGCCTGCGCGGACTTTAAGCGACGAGGACGAGTCTCCCCCGCCCACGCCCGAAACGGTGCGCAGCGTAAAGAGTATCCGCAGTGTGAAGAGTATGAAGAGCAGCGACAGTTCGTCCACCATCACCCGTGAAGCACTAGAGCCGTCTCGGACTGCTCCTCCTCCTCCAGTCAGCTCTCGTTCCCTTCCCCCTCCACCGGAGCCCCCTGTCCATAGTGCGGCTATGCACAGTGCCAAAGAAAATCACCCCGAAGACCCTGAAGGCACCCGGAACTCCATCCTGATCGAGAATCCCTCTGCGTATCAGCTCCTCTCTTCCCATCGAGCCCACGTTGGCTCCGACACTGATGAGCTCAGTGACAATGCTGTGGACAGCTTGACCGACCCATGGGAGGGTGACTTTTCTCCGTCTGCTCAAGAAAGGGCTCACGGGAAGCAAGTCAATGTTATCACGATTGGTGATAATCCATTTCCCTCCCCTTCTTTCTCAAATGATAAACACACCAGTCACAAGATCAGGATAAACACGGACGAGGCTAAACCTTGTCTAAACGGTGATATTCTACATGTAGATGATAAAAAGCTACATACCAGTCAACTCCCAGTCACCAACCTTCAGCAGAATCCCCATAGCAATGAAAGTAACTTAAGTGTTTACTCAAGCAATAAAAAGGGGACCTCAAAGATCTCGCCTTCTAGTACTAAGAACGGACCTAGTAGCAGAAATTCTAGCAATAAATCTCGCCACAAGGATACTTCTTCCGCTAACAAGAAGATACAAAATAACACACGCAAATCGTCTGCAGATAAAATGGCATCCTCATCAGTCTCAAGGAAAAAGCTGATTGATCACAAGGCTTCTGCAGCAAACGGAATCAACGGAGGCTCACACGGAGAAGTGAAAAATCTCCATGACTCCCGAGAGCTGCAACTAGGAGGTAACTGTGTCCGAATTGCTGGTCAACGAATGTTAGTCCTAACACCAGGGGCGCCTCCCCCGGACACCCGGTCAGGGTTCTCCAGCGGAGAAGATGAAGTTACTGCTGATGATGACACAAGCGACTACCCGCAGTCCTCACCAACTACCACAAGGGGCTCTGACAGCGACACTCTCCCAGAGGAGGAGGAGGAGGAGCTACTACCTCTTGATTCCTCTGGGCTTCATTATGCCCAACAGCATTCCTCTCAATCTGATAAATCTCTTAGCTCTAGTCTGGATTCCTCAGACTATCGTTCTGACACTAGCACTTCACAGAGTGACCGCTGGATGTCTACGCGCGACACCATATATGAGGAGGAAGAGGAAGATCTAGAAGACCCACCAAAGGTGCAGAATCACATTGATGATGATGCAGAGTCAACTTTGCTTGAGGATGAAAGCGAGAAGGATGAGCCCAGTGTGAGCTCATCATCTACTACCAGTTCTCCTGTAAGGCATGAGAGCTTCCATCCCACGCTATCTGAGCTTCTTAAAGTCAAATCAATTTTGAAAAAACCTTCCTCGGTTGACACCAGTTCGGAGACAGACTCGGATTTTTATCTGCCAACGTTTACTGAATTTAAGCAAAACCAACGAAAGAAAAAGCAGGTTCAGTTCCGATCCTCTCATGACGTCACAGTGATAGAGGACGCTGGGGAATCGAAGGGCCGCAAGGTGTCCTCCGTCCGGAGCCCAAAGAAAGACAGAGGGAAGGCAAAGGAGAGGCAAAAGAACACTTACAACTTACTTGCAGATTTACAGGACGTTTATTCTAGAGCTAATAACCCGGTAATTTATAAAACTCATTCAAAGAACGAATTTAGTGATATAAGATTGAATGATATTCCACTGGCAAATGGTGAATGTGACAGTGAGTACAGAACTCCTGACTCATTCGGTGAAGTTCTTACATCTCGGGAGGAACTCTTGGAAGACTCGAGCCAGGAAAACGACCAGCGGCGGGACGACAAAAACAGCGACAGCGCCGCCGTCGGGGAAGCAGAAGAATGGAAGGCTGAGCAAGGATTCCGGGAACAAAAAGGTGAGGCAGTTCTCTTGGAATTTACTATTTGTCTTACTCTTTTCAGAATGTATTTTATTTTACTTTGCTAAAATAGTAATGATTATTGGATTTCTTTTACACCATTGGTTCCCAGCTGGTGGGTCGCGACTCCCTTTTGCGGAGGACTAGCACGGGGAAGAGTAAAATCATGTCAGTTTCGTTTCACAGACATGACTGTAAGATATGAATTTATGGGATACTGTATTAGGTCAAATAAATGACGCTTTGTACAGATTTCAAAATGGCTGGGAACCGACGTGTTTCATCATCTGTGCTTCTTAATCCTTCCTTTATTTTATTTGAGCTACTGCTTGCCATTTGTTTTATCCGCTATCGTTTTGCTGGAGTGGACACTAAAAGGCCTGGCGGTTTTATAAATGAAAATATTTACTTGTCATTGGTATTTGCATTGTATATTACTTTTTTCTGGTCTGTTACTATTTTTACATCATATCGAAGCAGTTTGATAGACTGATAAATACCAATTCAAAATACTTTTCGTGTCATATCTTAACCTAGCAGATATTTTGAATTTAACATTTAATTGGACCTCGTCAAAATCATGCTCACCATTACCTTTTCAATTTCAATATCTTTGTCATTATATATTTTTTCAACTAGTGTATTTATACAGACCAGCCACACACAAAATATGTATGCACAAACATACCCACGCGCACATGCACATGGAAACATGCACGCACCCTTTCACACCCGCACACAGAGAACACACACACACACACACACACACACACACACACACACACACACACACACACACACACACACACACACGTACACGCGCGCGCGCATGTACACACATAAACTCACTCAAACACGCTCGGTCTAAACGTTTATTCGAAGGGCAATAACTAGAACGTAAATATTTGTACACAGTACAACCTACGGTGAACGATGACGAGATCATTTATGAAGAGAAGCTAAGCTAGGTGTTGCAGTTCGGAGCGCGATAATAACCCGAGTCTTCATTCCCGCAGTGGATGCCCAGGGAGGGGCTGGTCTCCCTCGTAGTCTGAAAGACAGTCAGACCTCGGGCGTGAGCACTGCCGAAAGCACTCCGCGCCTCCGTCTGTCGTCTTACACAAAGCCACCCACTCAAGTCATCACTGGCTCAACATCACCGGCTTCCACACCCACACGACAAGCTCCCCCTCCTCCTAGAAATCGCACGCTCAGTCCCCCACGCCCAGAGTACCCCTCCTCCTCCTCCCACTTCTCTCCCTCCTCCAGTGTCTCTGTTGCCGCAGAATGTCATTCCGTCCCAGAGGCCCTTACCTTCGCCTCCTGTTCTAACACCTCCATCTTGTCCCCCTCCACCTCCGCCCCAGTCGCCACCACCGTCTCCTCCCCCCCCTCCTCTCCCCACGTCCCCTCCCCCAGCATTGGATGACACCAACCAGACGTCCAGTCCATCCAGGAACTCTGATGATCCTTCCAAAAACCCAACCTTCACCAGCTTCCGAACCGATCCAGACCAGCAGAGTCCTTTTAAATCTATTAATTCTTATAACTCTCCTTCTTCATCTCTCCCTGTATCTCCTTCAGAAATCTCACGGGGCAGTGAGGGTCTTCGGGAAGTGCTCTCACCCATGGGGTACGTCCCAGTGTTTGGGGGCACCGAAGAAGCTCGCACGGCCACCATTCGTGGACGTGGAGCAGCCCACGCCCGACCCACTATCCTAGAAGCCTTTGCTCCAACTCCACCTAGCAGTGCTCTCCCTCCTTCCTCGAGTCCTCCTGTTGCCCCGCGAAGACGCAACAGAAACCGCTCGCTTAGCCCCGACGTGCCGGGAGACTCGACCAGGAGCGGACAGAGCATTCTTGGTGGCCGAGGACGAAGGTCTTCCTTCCTCAATAATCTCCTCGGAGACGAGAATCCCTATGAGCAAATAACTGATCACATCTATGAGGAGCTGTTGCTACGCAACCAATCCCCAAACCATTCCTCTCTCGCGTGCCACGGCAGCGCCAGTAACAGTAGCTCGCCCCATAAATCCCCCTCTCCCGGAAAGTCAATGTTCGAGGGAGCTTCCAAATACGAAATATTAGAGTACCTCCAAGATGCTCGTCGTAGGGTTGCCATTTCTGCTGATGATGATGAAGAAGTGAGATTACAGGTGAGCCCTTCGTTGTATATTTAGGTCTGGCTGCTTGTTTGTTTTTTAATCTTAATTTTGCAATTTTTGTTTATTTCTCATTCTCATTATCTCGTTTTAGCGACTAAAAAAATAATCTGAATGTTTTTTTTTTAACAAAGATAAATCCTAGCTAATTTGGTTGCATCTAGTGATTGCATTACTATAGTCATTTTGTTATTTGCACAAATGATAAGGTTTTGCTTTTGCTTATGCATCAACGAACATACATTGCCTATAGATAAGGATGTTTCTAATCATCTAAGTGATATACATGATATCTGTATACAAGTTCCTGATCAGAGACACCTTATAAGCAATGTATATCCGAGAAAACCACGTCAGTTTTGTTGGTAGTTAGAGTACCTGCCTTCTCTCAGGGCGACGTTGGTCCATCTCTGCCGGCTGAGGTGGACCTGGAAGACGAGGAGGAGGATCAGCTGGGCGTAGAGCCCCCTGAGGATAACTTCACTGTGCTTACGTCGAGGAATAGAGGCCACAGGTCCTCTAATATGAGCTCGAACTCTGACTCCTCTGAAAATAGCGGCCTCTTGAGGTCAGATAAGGTAAGTAGAGGATACATGCGTGGTAAATGTTGTAGAAGGAAAAACAAAGTGACAATACAGAAATGAATTTCCGAGTGGAAACACTGATGGTCATGGACTGGAAGAGTCATCTCATTTCCCTCCTTACTAGGTAAGTCCCTCGAAGAATTATAGTC